ATTAACGGATTTAGCAGATTTATCAGAAGATTTATCAGAGGAATTAACTTTACAATTACAACAACAACAACAACAACAACAACAACAACTATCACCATCATCACAAGAAGGAGTAGTTGTAGTAAAAAAAGGAAAAAAAAAGGAAAAAAAAAAATACCTAACAAAATCATCTTCTTTATCATCATCATCAAATGAAGAATTAAGTTGTGATTATGATTATGGTGATGGTGATGAAAAAAGAAATCATCGAAAAGGTTATACTTATTACATGACAAACATTTTACAAAAAAGAAGGTTGAAGATGAATAAACATAAACATAAGAAGTTAAGAAAGAGACAACGTGCATTGAGAAAGAAACTTGGGAAATTATAAATTATTTGATTAAAAAAAATAATAGTTTGTAGTTTATGTTTAATATGTTTAATGACGTTTTTTTTTTTTGTAATTTTTTTGAAACCATTTTTTTTTAATTATCTTTGAAAGATATATATATATATATATTTTAGATTTTTTTTTTTTTAATTGAAATTATATTAGTTTTTCGATTTTTAATTTTTTATATTTTGTTTTTTTTTTTAATTTTTTGGTTTTTTTTTATTATATATTTTTTTTAGATTAAATTTAATTTGGATTCGATTTTAATATAAAATTGCTTTTTGATTTATTGAATTAAAATTTTATAATAATAATAATCATAATAGTAATAATCATTATTATTATTATATTTTTAATTAAGCAATGCAGTATTTAATTTATTTAAAATAATTTGAAAAAAGAGTAAAAAGAATAAAAACGATAATAAAAAGGATAAAAGAATCAAATAATATAAACAAGAAAAAAATATGTACCGTATATTTATGTTACATATTTAATTTTGATTGGTGCAACAAACAAGTCCAATATTTTCTAAGATATCTATACTTCGCGATCCCCTTTTTGACTTCAGATGACATCCAGTTATAATAACTTTAAATAACCCAATTCTTTATATGCCCTTCTCGAGGGGATTCAACTTTGACCAAATAATAATGTAACCTCACCTTGTTTCCTGAAGTTTTTTTGCCCATAGATTGTATCATTAATTGGTTTATATGTTGTTTTTTATAATGAGTGGCTGCTTTTGTTCGCAAAAAGACAAAGTTTTCGGGAAATGATGAATAAAAGAGTATCGAGAAAAAAAAAAAGATATAATAGGGAATTAAATGAAAGGGAGATTCCATTTCTTCGAAATATTCGAGACTGACTTTAGAATATTATATATCTAGAATTTCGAGACCTGTATATGTATTATACAGTCGAATACGATATAATTCTTTAAATTTATTTAATTGATAATAAAACGTACATGCTTGTGAGACCCCCAAGAAGTAGTTTGATATGAACTAGGTAAAGTTAACTATATTTCCCATTCGAGAATTTTTTTTCGCTCTGTTTCATCAAAAATGCTTGAAATGTTCTTTATTGAATCAGATTGGAAGATTTTTTTTTTTTTTGATTATAATTCGAATTCGAAGGTTATTATTTATCTGTATTATGGGTGCCATTTGAAAAAAAAACTTTTAATATCATTTTTTTATATTTTAGTTAAGAAAAAACAAAACCACATTGTTTTTTAACAAAAAATTTTTTAAAAAAAAAAAATTTACGAACTAATTTGATTTGTAATTTTCGCGTCTTGCCTATTAAAAATCACGTTTTTAAAAAAAATTTTAGTTTCTTTCTTTTGTGCTACACGAAGTTGCTTTATCAGTCATGTGAAATGTCGGCAATTTTTTGAGCAAATTAAATTATGCATGTTGTCAATCACTTTTTTATATCTTTTTTGAATGTCGTTAATAAGTAAAGTGTGTAACATTATTAAAAATATATAAAATTTGATTTATGAAAAATAATTAAAAATATATTTATGAACTTTAAAAGTTAAAAAATCTCTTCAGTTAAAAGGATCTTGAATAAAAAGGTTATCTATTCATCAAAATTTTTAAAATTTTTAATAATTAATTTATAACAAGAATAATTTCAATTCATATTTTAACCTATTTCAAATTGCTACCAATATAATAACAAAAAAATATATTGATATCAAATATAGTAACATGTAAGACTTTCTTAATCCCTTATATAATTTTTAACAAAAAATATATTCTTCATATTGATATCAAATATAATAATGTGTAAAACCTCCTTAACTCATATAATTTTATAAGTATAAATATTTCTTAATAACAGATAATCTTTAATTAAATGAATTCTGATAATTTTTTTAACAATATTTTAAAAATAGACAAAAGTTTTACTCATATACCTATATCTGATCAACTCTTAGCAAAACTTGAAGATAATAACAGCAGTGACGAAATTGTTGAAAAGAATTTAAGTAGATGGGAAACAAATTCTAAGTCATTAATTAATGAAAATATAAAACATGAAAATGAAAGAGAAATATTGTAAATAGAAAAGTAAAAATAATTTAAAACCTTATGCAATTATAAATTATATTGATGGTAATATTAAAAAATATAATGCAACAGAGAAATTACATAAGTTGTAACAATTAGTTGAAACATAGTAACTATATCAGAAAATTTTAGATGACAAAAATTTCTAGAATTTTTTTATTGCAAATATTTTCAAAAAATTTTTGTGAAATTTTTTGAAATATTTTGTAAATTTGTAAATTTATTTTATATAGCATCAGGTAATTTTAGGAGACAAAAATTTCTGAAATTTTTTGTTTTTGTTGTTCTTGTCATTCTTGTTATTATAGTTATAGTCTTATTTTATAATTTTTCATTTTTTTATAAATAATTTGTATAGTCTTCTTGATATTTATATAATAGAAAAAAAAATAATTAATTAAAAAAATTATATTAAAAAGAAAAGATATTGAAATTACTTTGATATGTTTAAATTACAATTAAATTATTAATAAATAATAATTAATAGTAGGTGACTTGGATTTTATTGATTTAAGCTACACATGTAATTTGTAATTATGGCACGTCAAACAGGACAAAAGTCCAAGTTAATTTAATTTGTATCGCAGATAATAGTAATTTTATCACAAATAATAACATCATATCACAAATAATTAATTTGTATCACAGATAAATTAACTTTATCACAGATAATATTAATTTATCACAGATAATTATGAGCTTTAAATTTATTTCCAATAAATTAAACTCATATATATATTAAAGTGTGAAATATTTCACAATTTAATATATATGCGCAAGTTTATTTTATTAAAAATAAATTTAAAACTCATGATATTTCACATTTTAATATGTGTATGTGAGTTTATTTTTATTGAAAATAAATTTAAAACTTATGATTATTTCATATTTTAATATGTATGCATAGATTTATTTTATTGAAAATAAATTTAAAATTCATAATATTTCACATTTTAATATGTGTGCGTGAGTTTATTTTATTGAAAATAAATTTAAAGCTCATGATTATTTTATTGAAATAAATTTAAAGCTCATGATTATTTTACACTTTAATATATGTACACGAGTTTATTTTATTAAAAATAAATTTAAAACTCATAATTATTTTACACTTTAATATGTGTGCATGAGCTTATTTTATTAAAAATAAATTTAAAACTTATGATTATTTCATATTTTAATATGTGTACGTGATTTATTTTATTAAAAATAAATTTAAAGTTCATGATTATTTCACATTTTAATATGTGTGTGTAAATTTATTTTATTGAAAATAAATTTAAAGCTCATGATTATTTCACACTTTAATATATATACGTGAGTTTATTTTATTGAAAATAAATTTAAAACTCATAATTATTTCACATTTTAATATGTATGTGTGAGTTTATTTTATTGAAAATAAATTTAAAACTCGTGATATTTCATATTTTAATATGTGTATGTGAATTTATTTTATTGAAAATAAATTTAAAACTCATAATTATTTCATATTTTAATATATATATGTGAGTTTATTTTATTAAAAATAAATTTAAAACTCATGATATTTCACATTTTAATATGTGTATGTGAGTTTATTTTATTGAAAATAAATTTAAAACTTATGATATTTCACATTTTAATATGTGTGCGCAAGTTTATTTTATTGAAAATAAATTTAAAACTTATAATTATTTAACAGTTATTGGAGATATGACATGATTTATTGTAGATAAATTGATTATCTCTGATCTATAAGCTTAACATCATTTATATGTATATCAAATATAACCCTAATATATCATATTTTCAACTTTCACCTACAACTCCTGTAACATCACAAAGAAGAATTGAATCTATTTTCACTTTATAACCAGAGGAAGACCCAACACTCAAGAACTAAGATAATTCATTGTAGCTCAATGACGGAAACAAGAAAATCTATTAAAAATTAAGCAAGAAGTCCAACACAAATGACAATTCTGAAATCTCCAATCGTAATTCTGAAGCTCACCATCTCCGTACCTAATACCCTCTTCTCCTAATCAACTCACCTAATAAACACTACCACAAGTTGTCTTACAAGTAGTAGCAAGATCCTCAAGATTCTATAGAATTACATCACCACTCACTACATCCTCACCTTTAATTATATGACTTGACAAAGATGACGAAGCTGTAATTGCTGAAGAATTCCAAAGACAAAGCTCAGTATCAACCCGAGAACTAATCAGTTTAGAAGTAAAGATAGAAAGATTAATAACAGAAATAATCAATTTAGAGAATCGTCTAAAGCAGTGTCTATCACACATCAGAAAATTTTTCGGACGTAAATTTCTGTAACACAAACAGGACCCACGGAAATTTACGCTTAAAAATTCAATTTTTTTGACTTTGATCATAATTTACGAGGCAGGAAGCGATTTTTTACTAAGGTGTTTCTATGACAGATCGAAAGCCCTGGTTCTTGGCTACAAGATTATATATAAATTATTCCTGTAGCATCGATATCCGCGGAGATATTCACGTTTAAATTTTGAACGTCCGTGAAAAATTCG